GACTAAGAAAGTACTTTTTGTATTATACAATAAATGTTCTTGCATAATTCTCTTATTTTATTAACCTTTCAAATACATTAGCTATAGTGATTAATTATCAAAGGTGAATGGCAAAGGGGAATAACTTCACCCAGTAGAATACAAATTAATAGAGCCCTGGCCAGAACACTTGACTAAATGGTTCAGATGTTCAAAATTCTGGTAAAAATACCCTTGCTTATGAAAACCTTTTACTCTGAAATTGCCTCCATTTTGCCCAGGAGCAGAGATGATCTTCAAAGAAATGATGCATTTTCACTATTTAACACAGCCCTACCTTAACACCAGAACCCATGACCCAGGGTCATGAAATTTACAAATTTGGAAGAGGTACCCTCATCATCATAACTATGCAATTACATGTAGATGAAGATTTTCAAAGAATTCATCCATTTTCACTATATTATCAATAGAGCCCCCTCCCCTTTCACAGACACAACAGAACCCCTGGGACCACAAGTTTTAAAAATTTTGTAAAAGCATTGTTCCTCATCATATCTATACACTTGTTCCTTGCTTCATAACCAGGAGTAGAAAAAATATTTTGAAAGAAATTATGAATTTTCACTATATAATCAATAGAGCCCCCCCTCCCTTTCACCAGAACCTCTGACCCTGGGGACATGAATTTCACATTTTGGAAGACGCACCCTTGCTCATCATATCATCTATGTTCTTAGTTACTTTATCTAATACCCAGGAGCAGAGAAGAAGATTTTCAAAGAATTAATGCATTTTCACTATATAATCAATAGAGCCCAGCCCTAACACCAGAACCCCTGACCCAGGGGCCATGAAATTCAAAATTTTGGAAGAGACACTCTTGCTCATCATAACTATGTACTTAGTTAGTTTATTTAATACACAGGAGCAGAGAAGAAGATTTTCAAAGATTTAATGCATTTACACTATATAATCAATAGAGCCCTGCCCTAACACCAGAACCCCTGACCCAGGGGCTATGAAATTCACAATTTTGGAAGAGGCAGCTATGCTCATCATATCCATTCACTTAGTTAGTTTATTTAATACCCAGGAGTAGAGAGGAAGATTTTCAAAGATTTAATGCATTTTCACTATATAATCAATAGAGCCCCACTCTAACACCAGAACCCCTGACCCAGAGGCCATGAAATTCACAATTTAAAAAGATGCACTCTTGCTCATCATAACTATGTACTTAATTAGTTTATTTAATACCCAGGATTGGAGAGGAAGATTTTCAAAGATTTAATGCATTTTCACTATATAATCAATAGAGCCTCACCCTAACACCAGAACCCCTGACCCAGAGGCCATGAAATTCACAATTTAGAAAGATGCACTCTTGCTCATCAAAACTATGTACTTAGTTTATTTAATACCCAGGAACAGAGAAGAAGATTTTCAAAGATTTAATGCATTTTCACTATATGATCTATATAGCCCCACCCTAGCACCAGAACCCCTGACCCTAGGGCCATGAATTTCACAATTTTGGTAGAGGGCCCGATGCTTATTACAATCATGTCAACAGTTTGACTGCTTGGTGCCCAGGAGTAAAGAAGAAAATTTTTAAAGATTGCATCAATTTTGGTGATTTTAGCCCCACCCCTAGAGCCCCAGGGGGGAAGGGACCATGAAATTCATAAATTTTGTTCCCCTTCACCCATAGATGCTATATGCCAAAATTGGTTAAAATTGTTTAAGCAGTTTTGGAGAAGAAGTTGAAAATGTTCAAAAGTTAACACACGACGGACGACAACGGATGAAAACGGATAGCAATAGGTCACCTGAGTAAACTCAGGTGACTTAAAAATGGGGCGGGACACTTTGAGAGAGGCAAGAGAGGCCCTTGGGAGTTAAGGTATAAAATTCCATTGCAAAAGCTCAAAAGGTTCTTGAGATATCGCCCGGAAATGAGTGTTACACACAGACGGAATGAATGAATTTACAACCTTGAACTTTGACTTTTGACTCAAAATCAATAGGGGTCTTCCTTAGGCCACAGGGAGTTGTTATGTAAAATTTCATTGTAAAAGCTCAAAGGATTCTTGAAATATCGCGCGGAAACAAAAGTGTTAAAACAGACAGAATTTATGAATTTATGACTTTGACCTTTGATCTTTTGACCTCAAATCGATAAGGTTCTTCTTTAGGCCATAGGGAGTTGCTATGCAAAATTTCATTGCGAAAGCTCAAAAGGTTCTTGAGATATCGCACGGAAACGAAAGTGTTACAGACAGACAGAAATACAGATGGATGGATGGACAAACAGACTCAAATCAATATCACCCACTTTCAGTGAAAGTGGCAGACAATAAGTAATCATAGTTGGAGGGGGAAAATCTAGATTTCTATGAGGTATTCATCAAGATCATCTTCGAATGAAAAGCTCTCGTTTTCAGTTGCTGTGCCTTATTTATGACTAGTTCGAACAGAGTCAACTGCACTATAGAATCAGAAAGTTCATCTGAAAACATAATCACATTTATATCCATTAAAATGGCTAAAATTATCTCAATAAAATATGGTAAAATTACACTAGGTCTAATGCGTTATTTACATCAATGGGTCTTTGTGATGTCATAAAAAAACAAAATCAAGAACGATAAGCAGGTAACAAATTTATCAAGTTCACAAGTTTACACCTTCCTTTCTCAGTAAAGCAAACGAAGGCAATTTTTTTTGTACTAAACGAAATTTGACATTCTTTCATACCAATTAATCTTTATGTTTAACAAGAGGCCCATGGTCCCTATAGGTCACCTGAGTATCATGTATCAACTTTGCCATGAGCCCTGCCCTGACACCAGAAGCTTGACCTAGGGGACATAAAATTCACAATTTTGGAAGAGGCACCCTTACATATCATAACTATACTCTTAATTAATCAGCTTAATACCCAGGAGAAAAGGAGAAGATTTTCAAAGAATTATTGCATTCTTTACAATGTAATCATTAGAGCCCTGCCCTAACACCAGAACCCCTAACCCAGGGGCCATGGAATTCACAATTTTGGAAGAGGCATCCTTTCTCATCATAACTGTGCATTCAGTTTGTTTGCTAAATACCCAGGAGCAAAGAAGAAGATTTTAAAAGAAATAATGCATTTTCACTATATATTCAACAGAGCCCTGCCCTAACACCAGAACCCCTGATCCTGGGGCCATGAATTTCACAATTTTGGAAGGGGCACCCTTACTCATCATTACTATACTCGTAGTTCATCGGCTTAATACACAGGAGAAAAGGAGAAGATTGTCAAAGAATTATTGCATTTTTACTACTTAATCAGTAGAGCCCCACCCTAACACCAGAACCCTGACCCAGGGGCCATAAAATTCACAATTTCTGGAAAGGCAACCATGTTCACCATAACTATGTTGTTAGTTTATTTAATACCCAGGAACAGAGAAGATTCTCAATGAATTAATGAATTTTCACTATATAATCAATAGAGCCCAGCCCTAACACCAGAACCCCTGACCCTGGGGCCATGAAATTCACAACTTTGGAAGAGGCAATCTTGCTCATCACAACTATGTACTTATTTACTTTATCTAATACCCAGGAGCAGAGAAGAAGATTTTCAAAGAATTAATGCATTATTTTTCACTATATAATCAGTAGAGCCCTGCCCTAACACCAGAACCCCTGACCCTGGAGCCATGAAATTCAAAATTTTGGAAGAGGCTCTCTTGCTCTTCATAACTATGTACTTAGTAAGTTCATTTAATACCCAGGAGCAGAGAAGAAGATTTTCAAAGAAATAATGCACTTTCACTATATGATCTATATAGCCCCACCCTAGCACCAGAACCCCTGACCCTGGGGCCATGAATTTCATGATTTTGGTAGAGGACTCAATGCTTATTACAATCATACCAACAGTTTGACTGCTTGATGTCCAGGAGTAAAGAAGAAGATTTTTAAAGATTTCATTAATTTTATAGTTTTAGCCCCACCCCTCAGGCCCCAAGGGGTAGGGGTCATGAATTTCACAATTTTTTCTCCCCTGCACCCATAGATGCTATATGCCAAATTTGGTTGAAACTGGTTCTGTGGTTCCAGAGAAGAAACTGAAAATGTTCAAATGTTAATGCACGACGGACGACAGACGACGGACGCCAACGGACGAAAACAGATAGCAATAGGTCGCCTGAGTAAACTCAGGTGACGTAAAAAGTAAAATCCTAAGAATGGTTTAGCAGGACCTTTAACGAATTTTTAGGACAGACAAAAACCCCCGTAGAACCATGGTGTTATTACTTATACACGCAATACTTCATATATTTTAATATCTATTCATATCATATCATAATGATTAAGATATTTCAAATTTATATCTATAATCATTATGGTTAATTAAAGAATTTGATTCTGGTAATTACCGGTAGTGTATTTCCCTTTAAAATCTGAACCATTCATATTTATCTTTTTTTGATGTTGGAAATTGCTCTGGGTGTTGGTGAAGGATAACACTTAAAATCTAATAACTCCCATTATTCTCAGATGATCATGTTAAAACTTAGAAATTTTTCTGCCAAAAACATACTTTATCCGCTCAGAAAATATTTATAAAGATAAATCAATTTCTGTAAAAACTATGAGCTCAGTATACAGAATTTTGGGACAACCCTCATATTTCCTGAGGGGTAATATGTCCCATGTTATAGCTTTGTGGATCTCTTCACTTAAAATTTTAACCACTTTGAAACTTTTTATGTGCTTGGAAAAAATTACTGTAAGACTTTCAATTTGTGACATTATAATGAAGGCGCTAATAGGAAAGTTTTGGTATTGCTGTTTTATACATTAGTCATATTAAAAACATGTGATGATTTAAGAGCTTTTCAGTCACAACAGATTTTTAATTTGCATAAAAATAACAAAATTTACAAGACCAAAATAGACATGGTAAATTTCATCCTTTACTTCGAGTGTTTTTATTTGTTGTATGATGAGACAACTGTACTTACATTTGGAAATATTTGGACTTCCTTCACTATCTGGCAGTCTGATGTTGTTCAAAACCTTGCTCAAGTTTGTCATTACACTGAAATGTAGTATTTTATGCCACTGTAATGATTTAGGAGCATATAGTTCTTGGTCTGTCCGTCCATCTGTCTAATGTCTATCTCCATAAACTTAAACCTTGCCCATAAATTTGGAATGGCTGGTGCTAGGGCTATCAAATTTCACAGGTATTTCTTGTGATAAGACCTTTCTTTGGATACCAACATAATTGACCTAATATAAATTGACCTATTTTTGCACATTTTTCACCAAACTTTAACCTGGGCTATTAAAACATCTGAATGCTTGGTGCAAGTGCTTATATATTTTGCATACGTTTTCCATGTGTCAAACCCTTGAGTCAAGACCTTGAGTTTGACAAATTTTTCATTTGAAATAATCATATGAATAAATTCTTCAGTGGCTTTCATGTTTCAACTATGTATTTCTTCTGACAAGACCTTTCCTTTGGTACCAATATTTTTTAACTCATGGCCCTAACTTTGGAGTGACCTACTTTTGGAAAATTTTATCCTTGGTTGATTTTCTAAATTGTTGTTGTTAGGGCATACACATTTCACAAGGGTATTCCTTGTGACGAGATCTTTCTTTGGGCAAGAACAAGTTTGAACTATTGACACTGTAGTTTGACCTACGTATGAAAAACTTTACTTTTTAGCTGCTATAGGGTATATCCAGGTAATTCCAGACACCGGGTAATTCCGGACAGTGTAGAACTTTTTATAAATAACGATTGCTTTCTTGTTGTCAGTTGCGTACTTACTCATAAACTCAATATTATTGGAATCTTCTGATGTTTTTGTTTTGTTATTTTACATGTATTACCCTCTGAACATATCGATGTATTTTTTAAAAAAAAATACATTCCTTTTTGAACTTATAGACCTTTGCACTCTACAAATTTCTGAGGTGTACGCAATGTCTCTAAGGTTAAAACTAAAATCGATTATAAATGCAAGTATTTTCTAGTTTTGATGTACATGTATTGAATGACTGATAGAAGGTCATAAAGTAATTGAAAATAAAAAAATCAAGATGAACAAACAAAGAATGTTTGAAAATATTGGATAAACTGTGAAGAAAACACTGTCCGGAATTATCCCACAGTTTTTTTTTCTTACAATCAGGTAATGCCGGACAGCAAGACATAAAAAAATATGACGGCATGCTAGAAAATTTGCACAAAAACTTAAATTATAATCATTTTCATCCTTGTTTTTTTTATTTGTTTAACTTTTTATTTGATTTTTAAAACAATGTAAATTTGTAGGATTAAGATTGTATTGCAATAAATTTATAACTGTGTTAAATTATAATTCGGACAAATCATTTGCAATAAATTGATAACTGTGTTAAATCATAATTTGGACACATCGTTTGAACAATAATGAATATTGTACAATTTTCCGATTTAATGAATTATCTTTAATATACAGATTAAAAAAATCATTTAAACAATTTACCACATATACACATGTATAGGGTTTGTGTGCAAATAAATTAAAAAGATTTCAGTTCTTTTGCCTATTAGACACTACCATTGTGTCTGATTCTCCATCTTTTATCAATGAATTCAGGAACAACATCTTAATTTTAACAAGATGCCCATGGGCCACAACGCTCACCTGAGAAACTTTGGCCTTGCTGTTTTTCACCTGATCCCCCTTGTAGTACTTATTGTGGCCCCACCCTACCCCCAGGGGTCATGATTTGAAAAATTAGAATCTACACTACCCCAGGATACTTCCACATAAGTTTCAGCTTTTCTGGCCAAGTGGTTCTTGCGAAGAAGATTTTTAAAGATTTTTTTCTGCATATTTCAATGTAAAACTTGGATTCCCTATTGTGGCCCCGCCCTGACCCCGCGGGTCATGATTTGAATAATGTAGAATCTACACAACCCTAGGATGCTTCCACATAAGTTTAAGCTTTTCTGGCCCAGTGGTTCTAGAGAAGATTTTTAAAGATTTTTACTACATATTTCAATGTAAAGCTTTGATTCCCTATTGTGGCCCCACCCTACCCCCGGGGTCATGATTTGAACAATTTAAAATCTACACTAACCCAGGATGCTTGCACATAAGTTTCAGCTTTTCTGGCCAAGTGGTTCTTGAGAAGAAAATTTTTAAAGATTTTTACTACATACTTCAATGTAAAACTTGGATTCCCTATTGTGGCCCCGCCCTGACCCCGGGGGTCATGATTTGAATAATGTAGAATCTACACAACCCCAGGATGCTCCACATAAGTTTAAGCTTTTCTGGCCCAGTGGTTCTAGAGAAGATTTTTAAAGATTTTTACTACATATTTCAATGTAAAACTTGGATTCCCTATTGTGGCCCCACCTTATCCCCGGGGTCATGATTTGAACAATTTAAAATCTACACTACCCCAGGATGCTTGCACATAAGTTTCAGCTTTTCTGGCCAAGTGGTTCTTGAGAAGAAGATTTTTAAAGATTTTTACTACATACTTCAATGTAAAACTTGGATTCCCTATTGTGGCCCCACCCTACCCCCGGGGGTCATGATTTGTACAATTTAGAATCTACACTACCCCAGGATGCTGCCACATAAGTTTCAGCTTTTCTGACCCTGTGGTTCTTGAGAAGAAGATTTTTTAATGACCCCCCCTTATTTTTGTCTTCTCTTGATTATCTCCCCTTGTGAGGGGACTTGGCCCTTCATTTTAACAATTTAAATTCCCCTTCACCCAAGGATGCTTTGTACCAAGTTTGGTCAAAATTGGCCCAGTGGTTCTTGAGAAGAAGTCAAAAATGTGAAAAGTTTACAGACGGACGGACAGACAGACGGACGACGGACAAAATGTGATCAGAAAAGCTCACTTGAGCCTTCGGCTCAATATATAGCATCGACTCCACACAAAATATGTAGAATGATTAATATAGTTCTAATATTTTATTCAGAATACACACATTGATGTTGCATATATTGAATGTAAAAAGGTTTTTACATATGAATACATGAAACAACTCCACTTGAGCTGTGTCTATATGTAAATGTATATGAGTGCCATTTCTACTGACATAATTGCTTAGTTGTTAATATTTATAATATTTGATTATTTCAGCATTATCAAAAGAATTCAAATATTTAAGCTCGAACGTTAAGTTCAATTACTTCAAAGCCACACCATATAAATAAAGGGATACATGAAGAACTGCAGTTGGATCATGTACATTCATGTGTACGTGTTTTGCGGGGGGAAGGGGGGGGGGGTTGAATATATCACACAGGGTCAGATTATTTATGCCCTTCCCAGTTCAGGACATATGATTTATATTTAATATTTTAAAGGACATAATTCATTGAATGCCAAAAGAACTGCGAACGATAGAATTGTTCTCCCGCCTACCTCCAAGTCAATTTTCAAAAGATAACAAATTTGAATGATTTTTCATATCTATATAGATATTTATATGAATTTTCATAAAACATTACTTCTTTGGGAAAACAAAGAGAGATAACTCTATAATTTTTGGTAAAACTTGTGTTTTTCACTATAGAAATCAACGGAAAATGGAAAATATTTTTAGAACCCCCCCCCCCCCCCCCAAAAACAAAAATTCCTTTTTACAGGACAAAAAACTACAAAAATGCTTATTTTTTCACCAATTTCAAAGGGGTTTACAACTAAAACATAGTATTTTATTAATAATATATGTTTAATTTTGCATGAGTAAACTTAAGAAGAGATTTAAGGAACATTCATTCATATCCAAGAATATTTTAAAATGCGGTGATGCTTTAAAGCATGATTTTTAATGAAAAATATCGTCTAACCCCCTTATTTAAAGAGCTGGAATTAGGGGTAATTAACTATTTAACACTGGTATTGAAATTATCAGTCAATTACCATTGAACTGTTCTTTGCATTCAACAAAGATTTTACGGCCAAATTGTCATTAGTATTGAATTACATGGGTGTAAAATGTAGGCGGGAATCGAGAGTTAGCGTGCTTAGTTCTTTGCAAGCCCACTTTCAAAATCAAATGGTCATTGTCAAAGATTTTGAAGTCCCTTCGGAAAAAAAATAACATATATAAAATGTAACATACTCGGAAATTTAATTGTTAAATCTATCTGGATGAAAACTTATTAACAACTTAGCAAATTGTGAAAAGGATCTTTGCAACCATACAAACAATTTATTTCCTTATTCATGCTACTATTTCACATTGCACGGTTACGCCGCCATACAACAAGATTGATTTGTCAGGATTTACCCGCGATGTGTCCGGATTTACCCCACTCTGCTAATATGTTTTATTTTGCTAATATCTGAATAAAATCTGGAGGAAAACAATCTAAAACATTGATATATCAATAATTACGCATAAAATTCAGTCACTGATTCCAAATTAGGTTACTTATTAGTCAGTTTCGCGTTGATTTTCTTTACGAACAGCGCTGCTGTCACTGTTGTCCGGAATAAAGCTAATATACCCTATGGGGGAATCAGTGTTTCACAAACACATCAATTTCAGGCTCAATTAAATATGAATACTTTTTTCAATAGAATGTTTTCTAGATGGACTTGTTCATATACATATATGTAAGACTCCAAAGTTGGTAAGTTGTGCTAAAGACTAATGGTTTCACCAAAGTCCTACGGTCTGACAAACAATGATGGGGGAAAAAAATCAATGTTTATGATGTCAAATATTTTGACATCAATACTAACGTCAGCTTTCAAATTCCAACTTAAGGTTAATCTTCACACTACTCCACTGACCATGCTGACTTTGTTTAGTTCTCACACCCACCCAAGATATAATGAAATTTATATCTACATATTAAATAATTTAAATTTATTAATTAAATTTATTGAAATTAAAAATAAAAATTGAATATAAAAATTAAATTATTGAATTTATATTTATATAAGGGTTAATCTTCATACCAATTGACTGATTAGGGTTAGGCCTTGTACACTAGGTAAGTTGAGATTTAATGTAAGATCTCGCACACTATCCAACTGATAAGGGTTGGTCCTTGTAAACTATTCCACTGGTTAGTATCAATCCCATCCAAGTAAGGTTAGTTCATCAAACACTCTTTAACCAATTATGGTTAGTCTTGCACCAACTGACTAGAGTTAACACTGCACTAAACTTGAGTTTAGGTTTTAGTGAATTAAAATAAGACATACAATCTACAGTATGACAGCAACATCACACTTGTGTCCAAATCATGAGGGACTGTCTTGTCAAATCATCATTCCAACAAATTAAGGTTATCAGGCTTTGGCAAGTTATATCACAGGGTCTGGCTTGTCATATCATCAGGGTTTGACATGTCAAATCATTTAGGTTTGGGTGTCATATATCATCAGAATTTGGCATATCAAATCATCAGGTTTTGAGGTGTCATATAATTAAGGTTTGGTCTGTCAAATCATCAGGGTTTGACATGTCAAATCATCAGGGTTTGAGGTCCATTTTGAGTCTCACATATATATAATTTAAATATATATATATATATATATATATATATATATATATATATATATATATATATATATATATATATATATATATATATATTTAATCCATTTATTTCTTCTTGAAATTCATGTTAATTACCTTGAAGATTTTAGGATTGGGTTTTGAAGTTGCAAAGGATTTAACTTGAACCAGTCAAGCAACAGCTTGACTGCTGGCAGAGTGAAAAACTCCTTAAGTTTCTGTTCTTGCTTCGGGGTGTTTTGTAAGAGCAAATCCAAAATGCCAACTGCAATAAAAATATGAAAAATTTTAATTATACAACGCAATTAAGAGGTAATAACCATCTAAAGCATGCATTTACATCTGCAATATGAGAAATTGGTACTGGAACTTTTCATAAGAGCAAATCATGTTGAAACAAGGCTTGAAATTAATTCATTATGTAACCACTTCAGTCAGACTAATAATTGAAATATAATTTGAACAAATCTGCGCAAAAAATCAATTAGCTAGTTTTCAAACAATTTGTTGAATATATTTTTCTTTCATTAAAATCAAAGAACACAATCTTCATCTTCTAACAATGTTATTTTAACATCACTGACTGCCGTCATGAGAAAAGGGCCCTTAACCCATTTTTCACGAGGTACGCCTGCAGGCGTAGTCTACCTTATCGTACGGGATTCGCCTAGAGGGGTAGAAACACACATCGTCACTTTGACGCTTTGTACAAAATAAAGTATAGGGGTATGAAGTAAAACTTTTACATGACTATGATCAGGAATAATTCCATTGCCTCATGCGCAATAAAAAGTGAAACTAGATACTTATTTATGAGGGGAAAATTTGCATTGAAACAAAGGAAACGAGAGCGTGGTTTGACAAACAGAAACAAGATGGCGGCGCGACAAGATGATTTCAGTGATGGTAGCGATATTGAGGCGAATAATGGTGATATAGAAGAAGGAGTAGATGCAAGTGATGAAGAAATAGATGGTATCAATCGTGAAGTTCAACCTGGTGACGAAGATGATTGGATTTTGAATATTTTTGACGAGGAATCCGACGAAGATGACGAGTTTCACGGATTCCAAAATCGCTGGGTTACAGAAAATTTCACAGGCCGTGTAAAACCAAGATTTCGGAAGGTTGCAGGTGCTACCATTGAACATCCAGAGGAAGCAACGGCAGGACAGTATTTTAATTTAATATGGACAGAAGAAATGTGGGACAGACTTGTCCAGGAAACTAATGTGTACGCAGGACAAGAGCGTGAAAAAAACCCACCCCCTCCATATGCACCAAAGTGGACAGATGTAAACAAAAGTGAAATGAAGGCATTCATTGGACTTTGTTTTGCAATGGGTGTAATGCGAATGCCTACAAAGTCTGACTATTGGAGACAGAATAAATGGCTTTTCACAACCTCCTTTGGAAGAGTTATGCCACGGGACAGATTCATGCAAATATGGAGATATCTTCACCTACAAAACAACACAGAACAGCCCCAGCGACCAGATAAATTATGGAAGGTTAGATGGTTTCTAGACTTTCTAAATAAAAAATTCAAAGAACTGTATATGCCGTATGAAACTGTGACAGTTGATGAAAGTATGATCAAGTACAAAGGGAGGTTAGGATTTAGGCAGTATCTACCTGCAAAGCCGACGAAATGGGGGGTGAAAGTGTGGACCATGGCTGAGAGCGACACAGGATATCTACACTGCTTTCAAGTCTACACAGGAAAGGAAGAAGGTCGGCAAGAAAAAGGGCTCTCCTATAGAGTAGTTATGGATCTATGCAGCCATATGTTTGGAAGCAATCTGACAGTGTATATGGACAATTATTACACTAGCCCAGACCTTCTACGAGATCTGCATCTCAGAGGAATTATGGCCTGCGGGACAGTTCGTGCAAACCGTAAAGGTCTACCCAAGGACTTACTGCCAGCGAGAGTTCGTCTCGACAGACACCAATACAAAGTCGCACAGAACGACCTTCTCACGTATTGTGTATGGCAGGACACAAAGCCAGTTTGTGTTCTGTCAAACTTCCATGATCCACAGCATGTCGGACACGTGACAAGGAGGACAGCTGTAGACAGAAATCAAGTGGTCAAGGAAGTGGTGGCGAAGGATTTTTTTCTATTTGATGATGGTGTCATCACACAACGCGTACATTATAGCAAAGGACACGCACCCAGACATCATCAAGGATCGGTGGCCAAATTTTCAGGATTTTGTTGAGGAAATTGTCAGTGACTTGATTGGGGACACTAGGTCTGCAAGAGAGCCAGCAAAGGTTGACTGTGGTGGCCATGCCACAGAGCACACTATTGTAAAATTGTTTGAGAAGAAAAAAGTGTGCCGCGAGTGCTCACTAACCAAAGGCCCAGGAGAAAGGAGAGGTGTAACTTTGTTTGGATGTACTCAGTGCAAAGTTCCTGTACATCTGGAGTGCCAGAGTAAGCACATAATGAGAATGCTGAGACAATGAAGTGTGCAAAATAAATTTGAAAAACTTTTTCTATGGAAATTCATATGTTTCCAAATATGGTGACTTTCATTAACATTTGTAATTACTGTCAGTGTTAAAATGTGAAAATTAGTTGAAGATTTTAATATTTCATGTGTTATTGAAAGTTCTTTGTATTTTTGTGAGGAAAAAATGGACATAATTTACTGGAAAACTGACACAAACCTCAGGTATGAATGTGACTTGTTTACATTTTTTTCAGGGAAATACCTAGTGACATTCATTTCTTTATAACTTCAGATATAATGCATACTTTTTTATTCTGTAAATTGCATTTTGAAGAAGAGGAATTGATCTTTAAAAACTTGTGCTGATATTATATTGTTTACATTCACTTTTATTGAGAAAAATGGCAACTAATTAAATTTATTGAAAATGAATCAATTTTATTTCTTTACATCTCCAAGTTTATCCATGTTTATGGGATGGTTAAACTCCAGATTGCAATATGAAAGTTATATCACCTGAAAGAGAAATTAATATGCTATCAGAAAATGTATACTTTTACATACATTACTCCAGTGATAAGAGAGTAATTAGCCTAATTATCAACATGCATCAGAATGCTAGGCTTATCTCAGCAGCAGGAGACTGACTCTCCGATATACAGATAAGAACATCTGGCAGTGCTGCAGAGCAAAATGGGTTAAGGTCAAAATTTCACAAATTAACATTTTTGTTAATCTTAATAGCCCAACACTTTCTGAATGCAAATATACATAACTTAAAAAAATATATCAATTTTTCGCTATTATATGAGCATTTTAATAATTAAGGACATACGCAAGGTACCTTACCTACTGATAATTTTTCAAGATATTCTTAATTTAAGATTATAGTGCCATCAGATGTTCGTAGACAAAAAATCAGCAGGCATTACCAGGGGTTTTGAAAAGATATCAATTAATGAAAATTCTTGTATAATTCAAAGAAAAATATACAAAAATCACTAAACATATATTCTAGATGTTTTGTATATCCAGACTTATTTTAGAAGAAGTGTACAACAGCATATATAGACATTAAAATGTAGCACTCGATTCCTTTAAGTATCGGAACTCTTCAACTCCAGGGAAAAAGACAAAGTTCAAACTACGTTGCGTATGTCCTTAAGGCACTTCAAAACAATGTTGACTTAAACTCATCGATGATGTGATGATATATGTGTGTCAAATTCAATTTCCAAATATTCTTAAAATCACTCAAATAACCTTGATAACACATAAAAAAAACAATATTTTATTTCTTATTCAAAGCTGCTAGATTGTCAATATATACCTACATGAAAGTTGCCTTTGTTCTTAAATTTGTACAATTCTATAGACAAAATTAATCCAAAGTTGAATACATATTATAATCAGGGTTCTCCACATTTGAAAATTTAACCATGGAAGAAGCTGCTCGAAGGTGAAATGTGACCAAAAACATGAATGCTTGTTACAGTCCCTGAAACGTTTTACTTTCCCATTTTTCCGTTCGCTCACCGTATTTAGCGTACATTCACTGTTCATTCACCATGCATTCACCGTTCGCTCTCTGTTCACAGTTTTGTGTTCAGCGTGCGCTCACATTCACCATTCACAAAGCATTCAGCATTTGCACTCAGTTCGTTCACTTTGCGTTCAGTGTTCACTTATCGTTCAGTCTTCATTGTCATTCGGAACTCCGAAGTGAAAGGACTTATCTTTTTGTAAGTAAGGGTTAACAGGTTTTGAAATTTAATAATGAACATATGTTTAAAGGATCATTATTTCATGGGAAAAAATTATCTACAATATGTTTTATTATTATTTTAACTTAGCTGTTAGGTTATTTATTAAAATACTCTGGAAAATAAATGTTGTTATAAGTATGTACCTATGTAGAACGATGCTGAAAAATTAAATCTAAGTACGGGCACAGGGATTTATCAGTACCTTCTCAGGGGCCGAAATTCGGCCCCATTCCCAATTGAAAATGAGTTCATTTTTTCCCAATTTGGCAGTATTTTTTCCCAATTGGTGAACAATGCTTTTATATTTAATTATCTAGGAAAAACACTAAGTAAAATTGTCAGAATGTCTGTAATTTTCATCTATTTAACTCGTTTAGCAAAGCTACAATCATAACACACGTTTAAAAACACTGTAAAAACATCGACAACTTTTAATCCGAATTTCCTCCGTTTTTCTGAAAATGGTGATATTGTGTTATTATATAGATTTAATAAGTTATTTCTACCTACTCAATTGATCTACGAGTGAATGGTAAGGACTGTAGGCATTATTTCAAATAGAAAAATATATTTTCAATGTATAATAATACATATTAAAAGAGGACTTTGAAAAAATGTGTACTTCTCATAATTTTTTGCAGGAGGTTTATAATCAGATTCTATAATGACCTAAATTGGAATCTCATACACACTTGGACTACCCTAAGTTGTATAAACACTTTATACTCATTGAAGTCAATTTTACTTTTATTAGTCTATTATTCATAATTGCGTGTTCTTGTATGAAGTTGGATCATGATTTAATTGTCTGTTTGGTTGCCCAAATTAGAGTTCATGCTGAAATGTTAAATAAATTACACCTGAATACATGATTTAAGCAACATTTTTAATTTTTCCCAATTTCATCAAAAAGCCGATAATTTTTTCTCAATTCCCAAAAAATGGCGTTTCCCAAAATAGGCTGATAAATCCCTGGGGTAATATACAGATATTTCAAGCACTGCAACATTTTGTTGTTATGTTAAAGACGACAAATCGTTAATGGAGAGATAATAATCCATGTCAATTAATTTACCAACTGCAGCAAAGTTACAAAAATATTTATTTCTAACATGTTTTTTTTTTAATTACTAAAGAAATACATATTACAGCTAGTTCTGAGAAATTTAAATAGTACTACAGATATCCAGTTAATTAAATGTCTTTGGAGCGAATTAAATTGAAAGTGTGGTTTAAAAAAAACACAAAAATGTCAGTCTCAAAACAAACATGCATCTAAAAAAGTCATTAAACAATAGAGTATTTCAAAATATACACGTTCCTGGGATGGTGTTTTAAATTTGCAGGGAGTATGTTTCAAAATCATGCAGCTTAATCATTCCAAGTGTTTAGGCATTGTATTTTATTTATTTATTTATTTTTAGAAAAGTTGAAAACAGATCTAGAAATGATAAAAAAAAGTTCCAACTTCCTGGAAATACTGCAGTGTAGCACTTCACCTTTGGTGTGACGAAACTTTGATTCACACCCACACAGTGTCGAATGATTTTGATTGACAGGACAAGCACGTGGCCATTAATGATTTATGTATTTTGTTGTAGCACATTTGTGTACCACATAAAACTGTATATAGTTGCACAGACAATTGACATTTTACCAATGCACAAGAATACTTCTTTGAGGAAATATAGGGAATGAATTACTTGTAAAACTGAACATCAAAGAAAATGATCTGAGCTCTTCACTGCCAAGTTCTTCATTGAAGGAATCAGACTGTTCCTCACTGTCCTGATACTGAGTCATACGTTGGGCATGGTGCATGGAGAAGATATTTATAGCCACAATTTGTACCAGAATAAGGGATGGAAAACTCTGGGATGTTACATGGGCTGGTAAGGCTGCCAGGAGTTTAGAACTCAATGCTGCTGCTCTGTCAAGTTCTGTAGGAAGTTTAATCAAAATATGTCATGGCTTACATAAAAATACAAAATGTAGAAATATTTTAGAAATGAATCATGTATTACTTCAAAATCATACAAACCAGTGCAAAGATGAATACATGCATGAAGTTGGAGAAACGATGTGATCATTTCACTCACAGAGAGCTTTCCTTTCAGTTCAGGTCTAAAACAACATGAAAAAATATCAAGTATTTATCATTATAAGCTCAAGTTAAAAAAAAACTAGAAATCTGATGAGTTAGCAAGGGCCCCGCCGAGGGGTAGAAATATAAGGGTGCAGATTAGGGGATGAGAATTTTACCTGATTACAAAAAATTTAAAAATATATAAAGAATAAGCAACAGCAACTGCTAAATACCCAATAACCTGTGAATAGTATCCTTGTATTTACATAAGGCAGTAAAAAACCTCATATCTATAATAACTAAATTAAATGTATATTTAAAGAAGAATGAAGCATGTGTTTTATAAAATGTCAGCCTTCAGTGAATGCAAATATCACCCAGGCTTGACCTTAACTTCAAAACTAATATCAGTTGCAGACAAAGGTGTTAATTAATTTTAAAGTGACAGAAAGATAACCCTCTAAAATTTTCTGCAAACCAGCAAGATAATCAATCCCAGGGGATTAATTATACTGCTCTCTAAATCTTTTCTTCTAAGTTTACAATAAGAACTTTTTCAGCAATGATAGAATGAGGTTATTATCTGAATACCTGTTAAAATAAATAGTATTCCTGAATTTACATGAGGCAGGAAAAAAGAAAACAAAAAAGAAACTAGAACTGTCCAAAAGGGACAAATACCCCCCGCTGGGTTTTTCAAAGGTGCCAAATCACTAATATTTTATGGATCAAAGAGGTGTTCACAATTTTCTTATTAACATTTAGAGTGAAAAAATAATTGCTCATTATATTTTTTTTAAGAATGAAACTAAGGAACAACCTAATAAAACATCAATACCAATACATTGTAATTACATTGTTTTTAATACATTGAAAAAATAAATTGCAACTATCTGTCATCTTTTTGAGACATGACATTCTGCAAATTGATTTTTTGAAAAAAAAAGATCAATTAATTACAAAATCAAATTAATCTTGATAACTTTATATCAAATTCATTTTAAAAATGAAAGGCTGGTCATCCTTTAACTATGTACTATGACAGACAATAAATTACAATGAAGAGAATTAAAGAACAGAGATCTTTAGATTCCCAGGAGATATAGATAACACATGCTTGATCAGAGATGCCCTAACAGCTTCCCACACTGAACTCATTAATTAATCTTTAACTGGATGCATGTCCACTCATTACTCCCAAGGGACAAATGGATTTACACTATCTGCTGTGTAATGTAAAAATTGTTTTTAATACTTGGTGATTTTTTTTTTTTGTTTTAATGAATAGTTTTAAGCTGTAGTTCACATTTTTGTACAGATGTTCTAGATTCTGTGTCTCAAACCTTAGAAATAAACCCAAAATGACTAAGTCAATAAAAATGAAAAAAAAAACATCTGTAAAATGCAGAAAAATTATCAAATAATGTTGAAAATACCAGGTGCACATCTTCATATGGTAAATAATGAGTGTACAAATTTTCATACAATTCTATGAAATAGTCTTTGAGAAAAGGTCAGGACAAAACCACATAATAAAAATGAAAAAAACACCTGTAAAATGCAGAAAAATTATTCAATCATGATGAAAATACCAGGTGCAAACCTTCATATGGTGAATAATAAGTGTACAAATTTTCAGACAGATCTATGCAATAGTTTCCGAGAAACGCTCTGGACAAAATCTTGTCTACAGACAGACGGACAGACGGACAGACAGACGGACATGGTGATTCCAATATACCCCCCCTAAACTTCGTTTGCGGGGGGTATAAAAAAATAAAATCATAATAAAAAAGATATCTTTATCTACATGTATATCTTGTTTTTAGAATTCAATCAAATGATAACTCATTGTGTATTTTACCAAAATAAAGTATTAACATTATTTAAATCCACATTTCAGAGAATGTAAACATCATTCAAAATTGACCTCAACTTCAAAACTAACTTCATTTGCAGATAAAGGTGTTAATTAATCTCAATGTGGCAGATAAAGATAAATGCTTTGGATTTTCTTCAAGAGGAAAGTTAATTAATCCCAAGAGACTCATTGCAGCCTTTCATAATTTACAATAGGAACATTCTCAGCAGTTCTCTCTCTTTGCCCATTCACTCTTATATGAAGTTAAGAAATCTACCCCACCACCCCAGCTCAAAACTGGATGACACAGAGACCCAAACTAAGCATCAAAATATCTCTTACTGCCTATTCAACCAACACAACAAATTTGAACTTATTTGGTCAACCCTAATGAAAGTTATTAGAAAAAAACAGAAAATTTGTGGACGGAAAAATGACAAACAGACAGACGGACAGACAGCCTGATTACTATAGGGCACCCGCAAATTCTTGCGGGTCCTAAAAATTCTGTTAAAAATTATCCATATCTCAGGAAATTCAAAACATCTTCGCTAATTTAGTTTCAATTGACTGCAATAATGTAACTCGATCTCTCCAATTTTTTTTATCTGATATTCTCTGGAGAGGGCTACAATTCCACAGCATCTACGTTAAATGGTGCAAATAGATTTTTTAAATACGGTGAACTGCAAGCAAAATAAATTGTTTTTACATTCAACTTACTTCTAACTAGAAAACTTACCAATCAGCAAGGGCCCCGCCAAAGGGTAGAAATATAAGGGTATAGCTTACAGAATGAGAATTTTAATTGATTACAAAAATTTAAAAATATATGAAGAAGAATATGCAATAACAACTGTATTAATAAAATTTAAGATAATTCCTAATATCCAACAACCTGTAAAGAGTATCCCTGTATTTACATAAGGCAGTAAAAACATAATATCTATAATAACTATTAAATGTATATTTAAACAAGAAAAAAACATGTGTTTTATAAAATGCCAGCCTTCAGTGAATACACTTGACCTTAACTTCAAAACAAACATCGGTTGCAGACAAAGGTTAATTTATCTTAAAGTGACAAATAAAGATAAGCCTGGAAAATTTTCTGCCCCAGACAAGATTATTAATCCCAAGGGATTAATTGTACTGCTCTCTCATCCTTTTCTTCCAAGTTTACAATAAGAACTCTCTCAGTAATGATAGAATGAGTTTATTATTGGACTACCTGTTAAAATTAATAGTATTCTTGAATTTACATACAGCAGCCAAAAAAAAAAAAAGAATAAATAAATAAATAAAATAAATAAAAAAAATTTTTTTTTTTAAAAAAAACCCATATCTTTATGTATATCTTGTTTTTAGAATTCAATAAAATCATAACTCATTGTATATTTTACCAAAAGAAAGTATTAACATTATTTAAATCCACATTTCAGAGAATGTAAACATCATTCAGAATTGACCTTAACTTCAAAACAAACTTCATTTGCAGACAGAGGTGTTAATTAATCTCAATTTGACAGAAACAGATAATGCTTTGAATTTTCTTCAAGAGAAAAGTTAATTAATCCCATGGGACTAGTTGCAGCTTTCATAGTTTACAATAGGAACATTCTCAGCAGTTATCTCTCTTTGCCCTGGCATTCATTCTAATGTAAAGTTAAGGAATCTACCCTACCACCCCAGCTCCAAACTGGATGACATAAAGAACCAAACTTAGCATCAAAATATGTCTTACTGCCTCTTCAACCAACATAACAAATTTGAAATTAATTGGTCAACTACAAAAAAAAGTTATTAGAAAAAAAACAGAAAATTTGTGGATGGAAGAATGACAGACAAACAGAAAGACAGACGGACAGACAGATGGGCAGACATACAGAGCGATTACTATAGGGCACCCGCAAATCCTTGCAGGGCCCTAATAAGATAAAATTTTTATTCCCTGTAAACAACATAGCCCTTTAAATGCGAAAACCAGGTAAAATAAATCTGCGTGTTTACCAGTCATTCTCCTCAGCACCCATGACAGTTGTTGTGTGATGTACTGAGACTTGCGCTTGAAATTTAGAATAACTTGATAAAGCAAATGTCGGTGGTTGTACATGTAAATGATAACAAAACAGCAATAAAACCATTCCATGTGATGATTTTTTCATAAACAGCGATATTTATGCTTAAAACAAGGGAATTCCTAAATAGATCTGCTCCCTAGATCCCGAATTTTTATTGGCTGTCCCAAAATAAAATCGATCAAGGTCACTGAACATGGCGGATAAATTCAAGTTGTGATGTTGACATACAGGAAAAAAACCTATATGTGGATTGTTCTGTATATATGTCTTGCATAACTACATTTTTGAGTTCGGGTAAGAAATAATAAAATAGCCATTTATTGATAATTTGAGATAAAATGAACATTGTGCCGCTATGATTTTATTCCTGGATATTAATTAAAAATATATACATTTAAATTTAATTAACATGTTTGAAGACAGTTTTGTATTTACATCTATATATATATATATATATATATATATATATATATATATATATATATATATATATATATATATATATATACTCTTCATATCTAGAGAGAATATCTATTTGTTTTAGAAAGAACAGTTGTTATTCAGAGTCTAGGATGCAACGTTTAAACTACCAGATTATCTCCTTTAATAACTAAAACATTTTACAAATTTTACAAAGAATTAAGTTGTTCCTGATTTCATTGTCAATTTACATGTATAAATATTATTTATAAAAAATATACAAATATACGTATGTAAAGAAAGATCATAAATATTCCCATACAAATAAAAAGCGAATTCTTTTTAGCATATCATGAACAATATGAAGAAGGCAAATATACGAATGATAAAAAGTTATTGAACACAGGCATTTCAAAAAACTTCTTTCAATACACTTTCTGCTTACAAAAAACATAGGTAATCAAAGATTACGAAGCTCACCTCGATGAATGTTATCTTTAAGCAAGGCAAATTTCACAGCATATTCTTTTTTTAGTTAGTGTACATCCCAAGATCAATATCCATGCAAGTTTGGTTTAAGTACGACTTGTAGTTACTTGGAAATAGACCTGTTCAAAAAATGTTTATCCTGTTTACTAATCAAGAAAATTTTGTTCAGTTCCAACATCCAAAATAA